GTTTCCCTCAGGGTAGCTTCAGTGCCTCATTTCTAGGATTGGTGCATGTGGAGTGGGAGTAGGTGGGGGAGACTATAGTGCTACACTCAGGAGTCTCAGCAGCATAGACAAGCCTTTGCGTTCCACCTTTTTGCCCTGAGAGCAGCTTGAAAACCAGTCCAGTTTGCAACATAAGCAGGCTTCCAAACATGTCCCTGGACCTCACAGGGCAGGAACACGTTTAGCATCCCATCTATGCTGCAAAATGGAACCTGGGTCTGGCACTTACTTTTTATCAGAACCACTGGATTCAATGGAGAGCAGATATTTTCAGGCTTGGATCGGAAGATTGACAGACATGAAACAGAATGCACTGGGAAATGCAGAGAGTGCACAGGCGAGATCTCTATCTTGAGTGCCAGCTCTTTCTATAATATTACATCTCTGTGGAGCCAGCCGAACAAAAAGAGATTCCTTTTTTATAATGTATTCCAAGCTTTTATGGAATGAATACACACAAGGCTGTCTACTTGATGTGTACTGATAACCAAAGAGTTATTTGGCTACTGCTGGCCTTTGCATGTTTTACTGCTAGTCCAGCATTCTGAAATCAAACCTTTCACACAGGCACATTATGTGGATTTGTACCAGGAAGGATTCAGGGTCCCACTCCAGCATATCCCTTTTTATGCAAGTAGCCCCACTGTAGGTGCTGTAGCTTTGTGCTGATGTAGACCTGGGGACTGAGTCAACACTTTAAGAACGTGCCTTGACTTTGAATGAGACAATATTTAACATACCTTTTTTTCCTTAGCCAAAGAAAGAAGCTCACCTCTTCCACTTGCTTGGACTGTGATGGCCAAAACCAAAAGGGTTAATAACAAAGAGAAATCTGCTTTTTGAAGGTATCTGAAGTAGCTTAGAGGAGCAGTTTCGTGTCTGTCTGGAAGAAATTTTATATATTGCTTTTGATACTAATCTTCAGACAGCATGAACTTTAAAAAGCAGAACTGAAAATTATAGCCACAGACGTAGCTTATTTCTGAAATTTTGCTTAGAGTCAATAAAAACTAATGAATGTAATCACAAGGTATAATTAACATAGTGGGTTGAACTTAGGTGGGGACATGTTAATCTCAGACCCCAAAGTGATGTGGTGTGATTTGCTTATTGGGGAAACCCAAGCTTGGGCAGTAACTTATTGTAATGATTTCTAACACCTTTTAACCCCATAGGATAACAGCTATACAGTAACACTATGAATGGCTATATAACTAAAAAATTAGCATAAATAGGATATAAAAGAACATGCATGTTAAGTAACTCTCAGGGAAGGACAGAAGGGTCATTGCTGTCCCATACCCCACGGATCTCTCTTACTCCCTGTGAGATCGAGGACCAGATCCTGACTGAGGGGCCTCCCCCGGTTTTCCCTCTGGCAGCCCAGTTCAGAGACGTCTGACTTTGCTGAATCAACTTGATGTGTATCTTTTAACTGAGGGACTACTGATAAGTTGCTAACCAAGTGGAAACTCTTGGTTAATTTCTTCATCTGTTTTATTATCATTGTCAATTTTAACTTGTATTGTTATGTTGTCTGTTTATTAGCTTAACCTTTTTACTAACTGTCATATGTGCAAACCATATCTTTTGTTGTTATAAGTAAAATTTATTCTTTTTTATAAGTAAAACTTGTCATTGCTTTCCTTCCCAACATCACCTCCTCAATCCCGAACCAAAAAGCCCAGTGGCTAGTAAAGTTGCAGTGCTCAGTCAGTCTGCGACTAAACTGATATACTCACAGTGCCCAGCTGGCCTGTAACATTGGACTTCTCAGCAGAAGATCTTCTCTGTATACCTGGAGCTTTGCACCTGGGAACTTTCTGAACAGAAATGTCCTTTCTGGGCTGGAACATGAGACATGCTCTTAGAGCCCTTAAGCCAAAGAGGCATGTATACAGCTAGATTTACAGTGCTCAAGAATAGGATGGCTTCTCTGCATGAGTAACAAGCTATTCAACCTGAGGATTCTTCAGTTAGACATACAGGATTATGCTGGGAGACATCCCTACTCATCTTAGGCAATCCTTGTCCAATGCTCACACCCTCATGTATCATGAGACAGGGTGTCAGTCTGAGAGAGAACCCCCTCTTATAGTTTTCATCTTCCTCAGAAGATGGCTTCTGCTGTAGGGAAAGCTAATGGAAAATATCATTCCTGAACAGACTGATCTTCCTCCTTACCAGGTAGTTCATTGATTTGGAGCTCTTAGGGTGAAGTAGTGAGGATAAAGTTTTTGAATTCCCCACTGTGTTGAAGAGTCCTTTATCATATGGACGGCTGGGAGCTCAGACAGAAAGGAAGACAGCCAGTCCTATTTGTGGGCCAGCTTAGGACCTGTGGCTGACACATGCCTCCTTTTATAAAATTGGGTGGATAGCCTGCATCAATTCCAGCTGCATAGATTCAACATTTTAATACCTGCTCTCTGTTAAGTGCTTTGGCTGTCTCCTTTGCCAAAATAGTGCAGGACAGATTGGTCATGTGTTTCCAGAAAAAAAAAGAAAGAAAATTGATCTTTTAGCTCATTGTTTGTTATCAACTTCCTTCTCTGTAGTACTGCTGTGCAATGGACCATATCATACGTCACCACCTCACAATGATTTCTCTGGCCAGGCCATGCCACAGCTTTTTCTTATTTTTTGACCATGTTTTCTCTCGCATGCACCATTTTCTCTTTTTTTTTCTCCTTCTTGGTTCATTTCTAGTTTTTCCTTATAATATCTTCCCTAGCTTTTTCTGTCTAGTTTTGTTCTCACTTTTTCTCCATAACATTCTTTTCCTGGCTTTTTCTACCTCCATCTTTCTCTACCATGTTCCTCTTCCTGTTTTCTCCTCCCTTTCTGTCATTCACTGTCCTTGATAACAGTAGGAAAATTAGAACCTGTTCTTCATCAACAGTATGGACACATCACCACATCCTTACAAGTTGTTTAAATATTAATGCAGGTAGGACCAGATTCTGTTCCACCTACCAAGTGCCTTAAGTTAACGGTTCTCAAACTTTTTGAACTCAAGGCACCCCTCTGTAAGTCTTGCAAATTGAGTGGCACCCAATTTCAAAAACTAATTTATATATTACAGTGCTTATTCCTTGCAGAGTGGCCAGGCAGTAGGAATCTGGTATTGGCCAGACAGACAAGCTTGAGCTTCTGTTTACTTGCTTAATGTCCTTGCATGTCATGACACCCTTCAAATGAGCTTGCAACATCCTGCTTGAGAATCACTGGCCTAAATGAACTTAGGTACCCAAGTGCAATTCTATTCGCTTCTGCTTAATTCTTTAAAATCCATGAATGCCTCTATTTTTATGATACACCATCAGCTGACCCCTCAGACTGAGTTACAAAAAAGCAGCAAGGAGGAGGAAAACTCACCTACTTTTTGCTTGAACTAGTTTTCAGGGACTCAAGGAGAATTGTACTTAGATGCCCAAGTCCACTTATGTGCCTAATAGGTGAAACAGAACCAGGCTCATAGTGCTCCGGCGTGTTATTGTCTTGTCATGATCCTATTATCATTGAGAATGCATTCTAATTTTCCTGGGGTAGGAATGCTGTCTATTTCTCTTAATTCTCTTCCATCATCTCCACAGTGATTTCTTTCCTTCCTGTCTTATGTACATCCCTCCTTCTGTGCTCCCCAATTGGCCCACTGGCCATACCACCAGTACAATGCTCTCCTGCTGTGTGATGTTTCCTTACTAGGGCTGCTGAAGCATTTACAGCCTTGCCTGGTTTGGAGCTGTCTTTCCCACAGGGGTTCCTGCTAAGGGATGTCATAACCCACCCCTATTCTGGGGCTGCTGCCATTTGGCACTGCTCTCTCCAGGCCTCTCACTGATTTAGTATTGCGTGTTATGTATCAGATACTCTCCCTGCTCCACACTTCTGACAGATGTGAAGGAGCTCCCAGAGCTGAAAGGCAACCATACTTTTTTCAACCACCCTACCTTTGTTTTGCAAGCTGCTAACAATAACATTTCAAACTATATTGTAAAAAAAATACATGACAAACAGGTATGAAGAAAGTGGCAAAAGACAGCAATCCACCCACCATGCTGTTTTCTTTCACAGAGCTCTTTAATTAGACATTAAAGACACAACTCTCAGGGAGAACAATTGCCATTTATCATATTTAAAATAATCACAGCAGACAGGAGAAAAGGACAGGGAAAGCATCACAGAGAAAATAACATTCCCCAGCGGACTTACCTCAGCCTCACGTTGCTTCTCATGGCATTCTGAAATACAATGTGAATTCAGTGCTTTTGAGGAAGGAAGGGAACCCTTTCAGTCCTTTTAGTGCTCGCTGGTTCTAGGAACCCTTAATAACTGCACCAGATGTGGCAAGTTATCTGATGCCTAAATAAAACAGGCCTGTTCCTTTCTTCATAAATATTAATGATTATACATTAATTAGACAACAATATTAATATTTAAATAAATAATCAAACAGGTGACTGAGTGTTATGGTCAAGCACTGGAACCAACTGGCTGGAGAAGCTGTAGAATCTCCCACCCTGGATTTTTCAGGAGCAGGTTAGACAAACACTTGACTGTCATGGTTTGGTCCTGAAGTGGTCCTGTCTTGAGCCAGGGTCTGGACTAGATGACCCTGTGAGTTCCCTTCCAGCCCTACTTTCCTATGATCCTATTGATTCTGAAAGGCAACATTTTGCTGTTGGATTCATGCATGCCATTCATACTGAATTATGGTAGTGCCTTATGGCACAAATCCCAATCAGATATTATTATGATGGGTTCTGCACAGATAAAAGCCAGACCCTGCCGTAATGGCACTCTCATTAGGGCAAGACATAGTGAGTGAGTGTAAGAAGTGGGCAGAAGGGACAAAAAACGAGTAAGAGGCTAGTTAGATCCTCATATAGGTGGCCTTGAGTTGGTTACTTTATTAAAGTTTACATTATAAAAAAAGATAGGTATACAAAGTCCCTAGATACTTTCTGTTGAAGACATGCAACCATCAGTTCCCCATGAGCACTGGGATAACAGTGGGCCCTGCAGAGGAGTTTGGAGAACAGGGTGATGACTGTGGAACAGTTCAGGGAGCATGACCCAGGTAGAAGGTGCAGGGCACCAGAAATCATGCAGAGGGTCATAAGACATGTGGATACTGGAGGCCAGCAGCATTGATGTACTGTGGGGAGAGGTTGAGAGGGGCAATTAAAATTCTTTTTTTAGATGTTCACTCACTTTTAAGGTTCAATAATGAAGTTTTATGTCTCCAGTTAATAATGCAAACATGGGCTGTATCGGTTTTGGAAGGGGTAGTCAGTTTACTTGTCTTGATAAACCCTGGAGATAGTTTACACCAGAAAAAAGTGTGCTTTTGCTGGTACAGTCAATGTTCCAAACAGAACAAGCTAGATGGGCAAAAGGACTTTCTTGCTTTTATAAATGCACCAGCAGCTTTAAGTATCTGGCAGCAGAGCTGCCTTTGTTAGGAGTGTGATTTTTTCACTCTTTAAACCAACATAACTATGTTGGCAAAATTTTTAAGCATAGACTAGGCCACCCTCCTGTGGGATGCTGGCATTAAACTGGCCCTAAAACACTCCTGTTTCAGTTCATTTAGTTTGCTTGTTCTTCACTATTCTGGGCAGCTTTACAACAAACTAAAACCCCATGAAGTCCTGTACGCAGTTAGAAAATGACATTTTCCCAATGCTGCTGAAAAGCAACCAGAAACTGTTCAGCAATTTTTAAAAGTAACAGTAGTCTAATCTTACTTATGTTAGGCACATAAAGGAATGCTTTTTCAAAGACACTATACTTTTTTTACTGGACTGCATTTTACAATTAATAATGTCCTACTTTCAATTGTAAATGCTACCACAGCAAGCATAATATACCTATACGATTTCTAGTATATCACAGTGATGAAACTTGTTTGGAATAAAATAAAAAAAAAAAAACCAGCCTAAAATGATTGAATTCTTGAGGCAGTGGAATGGTACTGGTGATTTTATTCAGAATGTGTCCAACACGATTTTCCATTTGGATTCCACATTTTTAAACTCTTTCCTTATGATATTATAAACATTATCTCCAGATTTTATGGAGTGTCTTAGAAAGTTTTTAAAATCATTTAACAGAAGAGAAAACTTAAATCTTAATGATTAAATAGCAGGACATTTATATACATCAGTGGGTTTTTTCAGATCCTGGGCTCAAAGTACATACAATGTCTATTTAGTTAAAATAAAAAAATCCAGTCATGCAAATCATCTTACAAACCACTTGTTTCACTTTCTTTGAAAATCTAACTTTTTACCTTGTCACTGGCACATCATTTTCAAATTACTTGGATAACTTTTAAGATTGATTTGTGCATTGTTTTGTGTTTGTTTTGCCACTGAAGAGTTGACAGGCAACATGCTATTGTAAGAGTACTGCATTTTGCTGGGAAGTTAAAAACTATTCTACTATTAACCACTTTGAGACCTGCAAGTGGGTGTATCTGGCATCTGAAGCTTCACCTGACCTTCATCTAATCGCATTGGTTTATCTCAGAACAACAGCACACCACAATATCAGCATAGATAGCATGTTTTGACCAACTGGGTGATTTCATTGAACAGTTTTTCAACACTAGAACCTCTTGTTGTTATAATTCTGTTCTTTTTATGAATCAAAGGTCATATATAGAGCACAAATGAGGTCTAAATTTAGTCACAGCAGACCACAGCTCCACATAAAGACAAATTGTCAAGTTATGTTGACCTGCTAGGAAACAAAGATAAACAACACAGCAAACATGTACCTGCAATGCACTGCTTCCCTATTAAATATTAACTTTTTTCATTTACATTTAAATGAACTGAGCAGCAATGGATAGAATTCCACTCCTGCTACTTGGTGCTGCTGCTGTCATGGAAAGAAGCTGAAGACAATGTGGCCTGTATGGGGGCAAATGACACAATCTGAACATCCGCTCTAAAGTGACTTAATGATGACCATTCAGCAGTCCTGGAACATAACCCAACACAGCATGTGTTTTCTCTCCCTCTGTAAACATATCTGTTCATAAATAACTTAAATGTCTCCTTGACATTCATGGTATCTAACAGAAGCTGAAGTAGAAAAGGACGGGCGGTGTATAGCACTGAGGAGATGTCAGAGTACTTGGTTCTGTTTAGCGGCTGAGGTGAGGCTTGCAAATGTCAGCCATCAGAGACAGGAGGAGTGACCCACCCATATTTTTCATGGGTCTTCACCAAACTCTTAAATGTTGCTTCAGCTTCCTTACGGCTGAATGACTTTTTTGATTTGCCAGCTTTTCTGCAGATACGGCCCTGTACCAAACAGAAGAGAAAGCCTTCATTAAACACATGAACACAACACTTCATTCCAATGTCAGCGATGAACAAATAAAAACAATGGAGTGGTCCCATGCAGTATACCCTAAGATTCTTCTATCCCCGCTAAGATTGCAAATTCAAGTCTGACAAACTACTCAATAGTTGGGCCCTCATAAGCAGCAGCTTAGTGTATGTGAGCAGGGAGGAAGATGGCTGGTTTTCGAGAAATCTTTTGCTGCTGTATAAAATATGAAACCACATTTACAAAGGAGATGGGTGTTCACGGTTTGGAGTCCTTAC